CGAGACGGGGGAAAGTGCAGTAGGCCACTTAAGGCGCTACTTTCCAGCTGGCGACTTGATCTCGTTTGCTGCTTCTTTATCAAGGGGCAGTATAAATGTTATTCCCGCATATCAATTGCTAACACACAGCCAGATTTGTATACTCCTGAACTTGTTAGCCGTTTTGCAGACCCATGCTGAATTGACTCTTATTTTTGGCCAGTCCCAACGCCGGGACAGCAAGTGAAGCGAAGAAGGATGCTACATAGGAGCTCGCTGAAGTAGTCTGCTCATCACAGCTGCACACAAAACAGCTTCTAGAATACCAAGCACATGCCAGCAAACTCAAGGAGTGCACCATGGAATTCCATCCCCGCGAGCGCAGGTTCACAGAGACACGGTCGAGATCCCGCAAAGGGGAGGCATAGGGAGGAAACAAGCAGAATCACCTCCGCAAATGAGCCAACCCAGGGAAATCGTTAGGCTAAAGCGGGCGTGACAGTTTCATGGCCTCCTACTCTATATGATCCTGGAACGACGGATGCCACTGGCATCACAGCCACTCACATACAAAGAAGGCCGGAGCATGAGAAACTTTTTTCAGTACAGCAGGAAAGCGGCTTAGTAAGATAGACCTGAACCAATGCTGCTGGGGGAGAGTTAAGGGAATAGTTACAGGGTGGTAGTCCAGTGCACAGACCTACCTGAAGGATACAAGCGCTGATGTGGAGGATTGAGCAGCAGTGGAACGAATTGCTCCTACGTTTCTGCATTAGTAGCCGTCTTTTCCTTATTCTACATATTTCCGCTAACTGACAGCAAGAATACCACCGCAGATTCTGCAAAGGTGACCGACGAGAGGTCGAGATGCCTGCAGCGGAGCGCGTGGGGTAGTAACTGGCTGGCCCGACACTCGGCCTTTGCAAGGTCGTAACGAAGCTAAGTACAAACAAGCTGAAGGGCTGGTAGGAAGCAACAGCAGAGTTCTCAGGCCTGCGGGAATCACCAGAGGAAGATTAGTGAAAGTGACGGTGCGTATTGTAGATCTGCCCTGTTGTTGAGACCCACGACGGTCAACCAACTTTAGGCAAGACGGCGTAAGAGACTACGCAACCCTCCGACTAGCAGCAAGGAAGTGATGGTCTGTTTTGAGTGCAAGGGCAAGGAAGACTTCGCGAAAGCCTAATAATCACTAAAGCTGAAGCCTTGCAAATCAGGCGAAACCTCCAGGAGGCGCGGAGGTGAGGGCCACTACTCGAGGGATTGTGCCACTCCACCCAGACCAGGCAAGAGTGATAAAAATGGGCCAACTGCACTAATAGGCCTGACAAGAAGGCAAAAAAACGCCCATTTTCAAACAGCAAAGCCTACGAGTTACGGGGGACTGGCCTCGACGCGCCAACGACTAGGTGGAGGGCTGCTGCATGCCGTCAGGACGGGGCCGAATTTCACCGTCTTGCCCAGATGGAAGCAGAGAATCTAGAAGCGCTAGCAAGCATGTGCCATAGGTGCAGGGACTACAGCAGTTCTCAAGGTGTACGCTGAAAAAGAAGAGGAAGCCACTACGGGAGGACCTTGGCACCAATACTACTCTCAGCATGCACGATAAGGAACAGAACAAGGCAAGCGAAGAGTCTGAAGCATCCGGTAGTACTGAAATGCGAGCCACGCCGCAGCGGTGGCGACAGCAACTGTATACGTAACCGGGTGGTAGGAGCTGGAAGCTGCTGTGCAGCATGGGAATGACGGCTCATTTTGTCTGTCAGACACATAGCATGTGGAGCGCTTGTGAACAGTGCTGCGCCTCACAGTTTCATCAGCCCATCTCTGTTGAGCGGCCAGAACTGAGGCTGCGTCCCCTGTGCAAGGCCTGCAGTTTCACCATTGTCAAATAAGAGCAGCTACATATCAATTGCTTGGCGATAGGGCTATGTATGTGATGTGATACCTAGCGGGGGATTTCCTTGTGGGGCCTATACCTTACGATGCTGCTAGACTGGCTAACGGAACACCAGACAGTCTCTTCATTTTCAGGCTGATGAGCTACAGCGTCTGTGAATGGTGGATGATGCAATGTACCAAATAAAAGGAAACAGAGACAAAGGAAACGCAGCGGCAAAGGAAAAGAACAAACAACCCCAGCAGGCGCTGGGAAGGACCCTAGCTGAGCAAGCCTACGTTATGCTGACCCAGCAACTGTGCCACAAAACTGCATGAGATGTGGCTACACTCCTTCGCTCCACTCCCAGACGTTACAAGACACGCCGCAAAGCCAATGCTAGCATGCTTGTAAAAGGCTACTGTGAGGCTACTGTGCGAGGCTCAGGCCAGCACGATACATCTGCGGGGTGCACTATGGATGTCCAGCACCATACCGGCTTCACCAGGAGTGCGAAAGCTATCCACCATTCACTTGCGCGGAGAGTGCCAAGAACAGCTGATGCGTGCGTTAACAGGGCACTGCTGTCGGATCCCTGCTGCCCAGTCCCGCATCCCATTCCCCGCCGGCCTGCAAGGCGAGCGAAGCTGACAGGGGAGAGTCCTAATTTCTCACCTCCAGCCTCGACGGCACACAGTTCGACCAGTGGATACGGTCATTTGAGGCTTAGAAGGAACCCCTGCATATCCTCCAGTTTTTTAAAAAACACCTGGCAGCGTTGCCAGATAGGTCACATGCAGTGCTGCCACCAATCATCCAGATGGCTCCACACTAGTTGATCTCACGAGCATAAGCACGAATTTCTTCTAACCACAACTTCATGGGCTCGCTGTGTGACTCCCTAGGCAGTGCTTAATTTATTATACGACTGCACGAAATCTCGAAACCACGAAGCACGACAGGGCATATGGGTTACTCCGCCTTGCTTGAGCCGAAGCACATGGTTGTTTCGTTGCTGTATTTAGACACAAAATCTTGACACTCATCAGGGCCTGTTGATGCAGAATTTTAGAGCTACTCGTGAAGCAATGTTCCCTCCTCCTTTTATACTTACAAGCAACAGGCATATATACTGACATCTCACATTATTCAAGAGGGGCAGTTTTCGTACTAGCATGCAAACAAGTCAGCGTCCTCAGGCAAGACGTGAACTCCGTTCCCCAGAAATATCCAATGTATCATATAGAGTTTCTCGCCGTCACTTCACACTAATCCAGCGATCTTCGTCTCTGGTAAGATTAGAACGCATACCGGTCATCATACTCTCGTATATCTGCAACAGCTCATGGCGTCAAAGCCTCTACTAGATCATTCTGTTCGTTGGCTTGGTTTTCTACAGGAATATCAAGACCTCAGAATCACATAATTAAGAGCTGTACATAGCAAGGGTGGCTCTGCCTCGACACCTCCGCACCCTATCCCGCCTGCTCCTTGTGGTATTCCTCTCTAAGGCCATAGACACTCCTGAAAGTGCGCTAGCCTTGGTCGCGCTCGATAAAGAAAGAGGCAAAGCGACCTTAAACACGCGGCAGAGTACAGAGCGTTCGCGCAAGCACACGCCTCCGCGTACCCTATCATCCCGTCTGCGTGCGACGAGTTTTTGCTGTTTCCATGAAGGAGGCTCAAGTGCCGGCAACCCTCAATCCACGTCTCTTTAGCATTCACTTTCCCCTGGTGCAACTTTTCAGTCGTCAGCATTGCGACCCCTCCTATGGTCCCCTTCAGCGACGCACGTGTTTAGCATGCTTGAGAAGCTCTGCCACGTATACCTAGTTGCCTTTCTACTGCTTCAGCATGCTGCTCACCGGAACGACGCACGCCACTAGTACAGAGACAACATTAAAAAAGAGAAATAGTATGCGTGCCATGGTGACGAAGAGGTTTGTGTGTTCAACACGCCTAACTAGTCACACAGAAATCGTGTCTCGGATCGTTCATGCAGCATTTGGAATAACGCTAGCTCTAGCCAGCTACGCCCACTTGTTGGCTCTTAGTCATCTGTGGTTATGCTCAGCGCCGCAGCAGTCAACCAATGTTAACAAATGTCACCTATGGCAAAGTACCCGAGGTCCCCTTACCTCGGAAGAGTTCCAAATGCACCAGCAGTACCTCGAGCTGTAAGCAGTACCACTTGGCCACAGTATCTTGAGCAGTAAGCAGTACACAGAGGCACACAGGAGTGCAAGTAAATATTAGGGATGTACTACACGCCGCTAGTCACTTTACACCACTTCTCCGTTGAAAATTGATGCATACATGTTTTATCTATCTATCTTCGCCCATTGTTGTTTTCCCGGTTGCTCAGGAAGAGAGCATCAGCTCTTCGCAACTCAGCGACCGACGAAAGGCAGGCGGTTTCCTCGTTTGGTCTGCTGTAGCGGCTGCATCACTCAAGTTGCCCGTGTTTCTTTACCAGGTAGACCTGAGCGCTCGCTTTACTGCGATTACTGCAGCTACACCCGTTGCCATGGTGGTTCCTGCAAAAACGCTCTAGGCCCTCCCCGGCGAAGCACCCCTTTTGCCAAGGGTCTCGCAGGGAAGGCTACTGCAGAAAATAGCTCACCCCAGCTGCTACTGACGCAGCTACTGTCCAAGCGGCCCCACTTTCCCACTACTACAGACCTCTAAAAGTAAATGCAAGCTCCACCTAATTCTCGAGCACCAGCACCAACTGCTTCTCTTTATGTGCAAACCTAAATCACAAAAAGTGCTGAAGAGCAACATATCTCCAACCAAAAACAACTCTAGCGGTTGTCTTTGTAACTGCAGCTGTAGCAGCTGCTGGTGCAACTGCTGCTGCTCTAGCTGCAGCTGCTTCTGCCCCAGCTGCAGCTACTTCTCTAGCTGCAGCTGCAACAACTGGAAAGCTCTAGCAGTGCCTCTTGGCACTAAACAAGCAGCCCTCGCTGCTGCTCCTACAGAGCCTTTGCCGCTGCAGTTTCTCTCTCTTCTGGGCACACCGTATGTATCTTGATGAGGCACGTTGCTGCTGCTGGTGCTCCCGCCAGTTGCATGAATAGTCAGAAAGATGATCAACTGCAACGACAGACCGACAGATGGGCGCCTGCAGCTGCAGCATTGCCTACGGCTTCGGTATTAAACGCTTGAGGCCCATCAGCCTAAACGGCAGACAAATAAGCAGACAAAAGAACAGCGAAAAGTACGTATGTACAGAGGCTCAAAGCAAAACAAAAAGGCAGAGGCAACAGAGTGAACACACCTACAGGGGGACTGAATGTGGGTCCTCAACCTCAAAGTGAATCGTACGACATGAATTATGGCCTCACCACTGCCTGTTCGAGGCGTGCCATTCTGTGGCTGATAGGTCTGCGTGCAAACGTTGCGCCTGTGCAATATCGCCGCCTTGCAGAGCGCTGCACAGGGCCACAACCTTCTCGCAGCCGCTGCCACTCAACTCGCCTTGCTGCAGCTGTGGAAAAAACAACAGCACCAGCATGTCCACGCTAGCGCATTGAAGTGCATGAGACATCACTAGATACAAATTTGTAACAACTTCAGCCGAAAGCCGCTATATCTAAGCCCTATCCCCAACCCGAAAACCTTCAATATGCAATCTTAATCCTAAGAGCGAACAATAGTGGAGGAATCACCTTGAGAAGAAGGTCCTCCACCTTGTTCGAAAGGTCTTGTGCTGACGGCCCCTGCTGCATCTGCAACAAACCGCTCAATACGCTGCGCACGAATGCCTGCAACAGAAGCAATAATAGCAAATACTGGTCAACACACAGTGGTTCCAGCCGTCTCATCCTGTCTAGGTTTGGCAGTACTGCCAGAATTCCCCAGCATACCACGCAGCGACACAAACACCAGTTGCGGAAAAATAGCACACACAGCAATAACACCAGCAGAAGAAACCAGCACTTCGTGCTCTTCCAACAGCATCATCAGCAGAGTAAGTCCTAGCGGCAGTTGCAGCAGCAATTATAGAAGCAACAGCAGCAGTTCCCGCGTACCTGTTGGTCTGGCGGCAGAGCCTTTCCTTCCGTCCCCTTTTCGGAAGCTTTGTTTATGCCCATGTTTGCTGCATAGGTGCTCTTCGTTGCCCTTTGGTTCTGCAGCGCAATAAAGTTGAGCCCAAACTCACACAGTGTGTCTAAATCATCTGCTGCCGTTGCTGTTGTTCCTTTCAACGTTGTCCCAGATACTTCGGTAAAACACTCTGTGCGCTCATCTACATTTTTTGTCTGCCGCCTAGCTTTTCGAATGTACATCTTTTGTGTTTTTGCTCTATTTGTAAGTATCTCGGTTCCGCTCCTAGTTGCACTTTGCCTGTGGATTCTTCTGCCTGTCTCTGCTTCCTCATTCCCTCTGCATTCTTCCAGTACATGAATATTTTCTATCTGTAGGGCTGGAACGAAACACCCCTGACTCTCTGTCTGTGAAGACTTTCTTGTTTCCTTCGCGTACTCAGCCCCTGCCCGTGTTCCAAACTTACGAGTTGTGCTGCTGTAGGTATTGGCCACGGTACAGGCATGCCAGGTTTTACAGGCTGGGCTCCAACAGTGGGAGCAGAATACGGGGCAGGACTGTGGCCCCCCTCGCCAGTTGGAGGCAAGCGAGGAAATCCACCCGCATGTCCAAAACCGGAAGCACCAGGCCCAGCGCTCGCTAGCGATCCCGGGGGGGCCGCCAACGATACCCCAGGTGCGCCCCCAAGAGCACCCGTCCCACCAGCGATATTACCGGTAGACGCGTTTGAAGGCGCCGGTGCTGACTGTGGTGCAGTGAAACCGAAGGAAGATGCTGGAGCAGCTGGTCTGAGTACGCTACCTCCAGGAACAGCTGTCCCACCAGTAGCAGCAGACACTGGGGGTGGCGGCACACCCCTTGGGGCGCCCAAGGCAGGGGAAGGACTCATGAAGCCAGCGGAAGAGATAGGGGCTACCCGTGAAACAGAACCCGGATTCTGCGGGAACATGTCTCGTTGCTGGTGATGCTGATGTTGCTGCTGTGAGCCTGCAGTAGTGAAGGACACACAAGGCAGCATATGCACCATTCAGCAAACCTCTGCCGTTCAGTGAAGCTGCTGGGGAGTTATCTGGGACACAACGCGGCCGGAACAGCACAATTTTGCGCTTTCCTACCGTTGGGAAGAAACCCTTGTTGCAATCCGTTAGTCGCTGGGGAGGGCCTGTGTACCGGCCCTAAAGCTCCTGATTGAGTGGAAGGCCCTGAGGCTGGCAGCATGCGGGGAACACAGAACTGCTGCGACTGCTGCTGCATCTGTTGCTGCTGCTGCTGGGGTGGGGGAGCAGAAGGAACATCATGGCCCCTCTGCTGCTGCTGCTGCAGAAACGGAGGCTGCTGTTGTTGCAGCGATGGCTGAGCCGGGGGCATCGAGCGCACTGGCTGCCGCTGCTGCTGCTGTTGCTGCTGGCGCTGCATGGCCCCACCAAACCCCGAGCTCTCCGCACGCAGATTGGGAGAAGTAAATCCTGCTCGCTCCATTGCTGTAGGGTTGCTGTAATACAGACGCATGGCCAGCTCAAGCGCTGCGGCACGCAGGGAGGACTCTAGGGCCTGCTGACCTGAACCAGCTGCTGCCGCTCCATCTGTTATGCTGCTTATGTTGGTGCTACCAACTCCCAAATACAACCGTAGAACCAACATCGCGCACGATCCACACGAAAGGCTGCTTGCCTCGTCTGCGTATGCACTGTAGCAGCAGCACGCAGCCACAAAAGCAGCACAGAAGCCGTAGATGGTACGCTGTGCTAAACAAAGCAATGACTGCAGCTTGGGCACAGCGACAAGTGAAACGTTTGACAAATAGAACACCATCAAATTGGCAGCGTATAGGCCAGCAGGCAGAACAGCAGTACCACAAAAAACAAACCTAACGACAAACCTAACACCAGCAACTCGTGTCTCACAGTGCGACCCTTTCGAATGCAGGGCAAGGGCCCTGGAAATTTGCTGCCGCTCTAAAGACGAGCATTTTTTGGATAGTATTGAGAAGCGGCTGCGCGAAGTAGTTGCTGCCGCTGCTGCTGCTCTTGCTGCGATGTGTGTAGATTCTCTGCTGTAGCTGCTGCAGCCAGATGTCGCATGCAGCTGGGAAATCACGTGACGTAATGAAACACACTAGGGCCCCCTTCAAGTCCCCCGACGCAGACAGCCGTTCCCCTAATTGCCCTGACGAGACACATCATCCCAATAAACAAAAATCGTCACAATAGGGCAGCACAAAGGATAAAGAAAGGCATACTAGCCGGGGCACTATAACTGGGTTCAAGCTTGCGTAGGCAGCTCAACGCCAATGTACACTGTACGCTCCTTCAGCAATAGGGTCTGGAGCCGGCTGAACGCGTATCGCTAGGAGTTTATTACTTACGCGCCAGTCGGTAATATGTGTCCTTGTCACGCGCGTAGCTCCCCAAGAGCCGCAGAGCCTCACGCCAGCATACCAACGAAACTTCCGTAACTAGGCTGTCCAGGCAATCTAGCACCGCGAAACCGAACAGCTGCAGGAAACAGTAGCAGCAAAATTGAACGAATGACAAGGAAGAAAATACCGACAGCTCACACAACACAAAAACCCATATACCAAAAGCGGGCATCCACCGCTTTTGCTGATGCATCTGCTGATGCTACTCCTGATGCTACTGTGATCGCGAATACCGCCTTTCCAGCTCGCGCCTTGGGTGCTGCGCCTGCCTACTACTGCTGCGCCCGCACCTTGAAAAATTCGTCCTGCATGTTGTGTACATACGCCTCCGCAACTGTGCGCCAAATGGCGAGGCCTTGGCCTTCCGCTGCTTCCCAAAGACATGCGTTGCTGCTCTGGCGCTGCTGCTGCTGTTGCTGCTGCTGAGGTAGCGGCGCTGCTGCTGCGGCTCCCGCCAGAAGCAGCGCATCGCTAAGCGTCCCGTAAACCTTCAGCAGCTCCACAGCCCCTTCTATAGAACCAGTAAGAAGACATTCCCGCAGAAGCTGCCATGGCGCAGATGCTGCAGCACGACAGTACGCACGGACATGCGAATACTGCAACGTTTCCTCTGCTGCTCCTGGTGCCGCAACTGTTCTTGTTCCTTCACGTTCTGCCACAGTGAAGCGGCCAGCGCACTGCTAACTGTACGGATGCGTAAAAAATACGCTATCAGCAACAGCAACTCACTCCAGTCAATATCGCCATGCTGTGAAGACGCCCTGCTGCTGGCTGGATTCGGCTTGACTGCCTGCTCTTGCTGTTGTTGTTGTTGCTGGAGCACGTCACCGGATGCGGATTCTTCCTCCCTTTGTTGCTCCTGTTGATCCTTCGAGGATTCACGTTCCTCTGCGCCCCCGAGTTGTGAAAAAAACTCTAAACAGTAGCCGCAAGAACAGCAGCAACAGAAGCATCTGCACAGGTCGGCTAAGAAGTCAGTTCGTCAGTCCTACACTGCCAGCCATCCAGTGAACTCCACCGGAAGCAAGATGCCTTGCTACCTTCTGGGCTAACTGGAAGAACATGCGACTGACTTTCTGGGTCCACTGCAGTCAAGGCAGCAATCTGCTGCTGCTGCTGCTGCTGCTGCTGCGTTCCGTTGCCATTACTCAACGGGTAGCCTGGGTATGACCCAGGCCCGTTGATGTATCCTTGCTCCTGCTGCTGGTGCTGTTGCGGGTGCATGGCATAGCCGTACATGGGATGCTGCTGCATTTGCTGCTGCATTTGCATCTGTTGTTCTTGCTCCTGCTGCTGTTGCAGCAACAGCTGCTTCTGCCGCTGCTGTTCTTGCACAGATGGAAGCGGATGGCCTAGAAGTGTCTCGAGCTGCTGCTGTAACTCCTCCCTGCTGCTCCCCCCGAGGTTCGGTATGCGCTGCAGCAATTAGGAACAAGAAAAAGGGCAGCATGAAAATCCAAGCAATGGCGCCGCCAGCGCCAGCTCTATGAAGCAAGAAATAGAAGCTCACCCCGTTCAGTGTGTCAAGCAGCGCCGACCAGACTTCTCGGTCTTCCGACTCACTCTGGTGCTGCTGCCGCTCCATTTGCTGAAGCTGGAGTGTGCAGATATCCGCCCAGCACTGCTGCCTTATAAGCCCGTCTAGCTGCTGCACCTGTGCAGCAAATGCTGCTGCAAGCTGGCCCGTTTCGTGTGCGTCTGTCTCTTCGAGCTTCGTCTCTGTAAACTCCTCGACGGACCTCAGCATTAACGCAGAATGAGACAAAGAAGTCGAGTACGCTAGCCGCCCGCTACTGCTGAAATCCACAGCGCGTGGCTTCTGCAGCAGCAACAGCGGAAGCACCAGCAAATGCGAATTCAGTAGCAGCAGACAATATGGCCACCTAAAGCCGAATTCCTCACGGCTTCCGCCAGCTCTTGTACCATTAGCAGCAGCATCAGGCGCAAGCAGCAGCGCCCTCGTTCCGGATCACCTTTGTCCTCAGAAGAAGCAGCAGCACCCTTAGCAGCGCTAGCAGAATGAGCTTGCTAAAATAAAGTGGAAGCGAGGTCATAAGCAATACTCTGCACGATTCCTTTCTTTAGTGTAACAATGTGTCCATTCAGGGGGATGGTTCCGACCTTGAACCAAGACGGTATAAACTTGCTGCTAGAGGGCCCCATGATTCTAGAGTCTTCTGGTGGATAGAAACGGTCTGCTGCTGATGACGGAGACCCCGCAGCACAATTGGAGGCTAGCAACGAGCACACAGAAACCTGCATGGGTGTCGCTGCTGCATATACGCCTGGCGCTGTTGGCGACCACAAGACCTGCATATAGGGCTCGACTGCCTGTTGCTGCACGTACACCTCAATGCCACTGCTGTGAGTCTGCTGCTGTTGCTGCACTGACTCTTCCGGTAACCACCAACAAACCAACCGGCTGTCGCGCCCGCACGTTAGCTGTAGCAACACAGGCAGCATCAGGAGGAGCATGGATGATGCGAATAGGACGCGCCACAACATCGGCAGCCAGGCTAGCAGCAATATCCAGGAAAGCTGCAACTACTGCAATCTCATAGAACGACCAACAACAGCCTGCATCAAAGCCACAACTAGCTGCAGCAGCAGTAAAAGCAGCAACAAGAGCGACGAACCACCATGCGGCTATCCGCCGGGCACAGCGAGGCAGATACAATTCCACGAGTATGGCCGTAAGGAGGTTGTGGAATGGCTTCTTTCAAAGGGAACGTTGCGTTGCGTAGGTCCCAAAGCTGGAAATACACAAGCAAATAAACGACAAGGGGGCGGCAGCTGATGCAGTGCCCCGCTAGCCTATTTGGTAGTGCAGACAATTCTACAAAACGGAAGGCGAAAGAATGAACAGGAAACGTCAAGCAGGGGATGACAATTAAGCGCAGACAAATGCGAAAACTATGCGACGACAGTGTGAAGGAGCTGAAGGAGATGCAACATCATCCCCACCTGCGGCGAAGGTTTTCTATCATCGTCGTAAACTAGTAGAAGCTGTGTCGGCTGATTTGGCAGCCACAAAACTGAACTTGGACGCGAATGGCGGTGTTGCGGGTCGCAGAAGCTGAGAAAACACGGAAGGTACAGGGTTCCATGCCATCGGTGCGCCGGACATTACCGCCGTGTCCCTTCTGTTATTGCTTTAACAACTTCATAGAAGCAACAGAACCCACAATAGCAACAGCAACAGCCACTGCCCTAACAGCAACAGGAGTCCTGCCAACAATAGCCGATGCGGCCAACTCAGCAGCAGCAACTACAGCAGTAATGGCAGGCATCACCTGATAGCATGCTTCCTCTGCTTCAGATCCCAGACAACAGTCTGCCCCGTGCCAGTGCCGGTGGCGATGATATGTGCCACCGAAGCGTTCCAGCTAAGACAGGTGCACTCGCAGTCATCACCTGCTGGATTAAACAATAGGCCAAGCACAATGAGACTGTTCACTAGGAAGTGAATGAACCCTACGCTTGCAGAATAAAACAAACACCAATGGCATACTACGTGAGTCCAACAGGACGGAGTTAATGCAGTGGCTACCACATCCAAACGCACACAGTTCCTTTCCAACTGTATGCGTATCTGTGTTCCTGATTGTATGTCCGTTTGTGTTGTCTCTGCTCTTGTATGTCGTATCTCCCTGTGTATTGATTCACGTGTAACCCCCTTCGCATCCAAAGTCGCCCATGTTTCTCCCTACCACTCTCCGCAAATATGTAGCAGGCTACAAAGTTTCCTAGCAAGCCAACCGGTTCAAAAATCCAGTGTTTAGCTACACGATTTGCTAGGTCCCACACAACTTCACTACATGGCGCGTTGGCCGCTCGAATAATTAAATTCCGTTGATAGTTCGGTAGCTGATTCTTCAATACAGCCTCTACCAAGTCTGCCGGTTCGCTAAATAGTCAGATAACTCCAGTCGAGTTGCGTTTACCTGCTCCATCCGCTCCGGGTTTGTGTGCAACTGCTTCCGTAGCAATCTCGACATCGACTATGGAAAGACCACCGCTGCTCGTGCCAGCAGCTAGCAACGAGGGCCGCAGCGAATTGAACTGCAACGCCTGCACGCGCTGCCCCCGCTGGACCTCCACCGTCTGCAGCAAACCCGAGGACCCACTATCACCAGAGGCCACGCCCTGACTACAGACAGGCGAAGGGACAGGTACACGCACAAAAAACAGGTACGGATGAAGGCAAATGAGACGCGGCATCACTGACCTGCGCAGATACACTTCATTTGGACAGTTTGGTCCTGTCCAGCTTGCTGAAGTCAACATTTAAGTAGGTACTTGACTCACCATAAGACAGAGAAGGAAATACAAGGAAATCCACGCAAAGGCAGAGGAAGAACCGCACATACAGTCGCAGAAACAACGACAGTGAAAAGTATACAGAAACAAAACCGGCAATGACGGAGGCAGAGGCAGTAAGAGAGATAAACAAGAACGAAAACTGGAAGATCCTAATGTATCCTAAAAAAAATCCAAATGTGTCGCAAAAAAAGCATGCCGAAACAAAGAAACCTAGGCAAAGCACACCATTTTCACATCAAACGCAACAGCAGCAACGGCACTATCGACGACAGGAGGGGCAAAGAACACCGCACTTGAGTATGTCGCCAGCATTCCAGAGAGTGACGTCTCCTTCAGACATGCCACCCGCGACAAGGCAGGCATTCGCTGAGCCTAAGTCGGTAGTTATGGCGGTAGCTATGCACTGGAAGGGAGAGGGAGCTCCCACAGAAGCAACAACTGGAAGGGAGGCGCTTGGAGATGACAAATCGAAGGAGGCAAACTCCAGCCGAGGATCAACACCCATGGTACCCAGCGCCAACAGCTCGCGGCTCCCCCCATCCCCTCCTGTGCTGCTAGTTTTGCTGCTGCTGCTGCTGGTGCCTTCCTGCACCGAGAGACCCCATGCGCCTGAGGGGCACCAAGCCACCGCGGCGCTGCGCGTGAGATTCTTTAAGCTCATTGCTGCTGCGGACGAGGTGGTGGGGAGAGACACAAGCTGAGCAGCACAGCAAGGCTCAGCCTCGAGAGCAACTTACTCACGGACTAAACACGAACAGCAGAATCAGCAGCAGGCACGGAAAAGAAAAGGGAGATGCTGCTGAGAAGATGAAAACAGACACAAATGGTGACGGGCAGAAATTGCCCTAAGTCAGATGTGCTACCAACAGTGAGCGCCGACTTCCTGCTATGGCGGCTCTTCCTGCTGCTGCTCCAGCGCCTGTCGCCACCCTCTGCGGCAGTTCTAGGGTCCAGTTGTGCTTTTTCCTGGTAACTTTCCGTTCAGAAGTACTCAGAGACGGCAAGCGGTGCCGCTGTTTATCGACCGCTGCCGCCTCTGGTACTGCTGCTGCTGCTGTTTATGCTGCTGCTGCTGCTGCTGCTGCTGCATGTCTAATGATCAGCGCGCTGATGTACTGCTATGCGCAATTTGTACCCTATTTTGCAAGCAAACCCTAGCTATACTAATAATCTTCCCAGCGTATCATATAGAAGGCCGTATCGCAAAACAGGGAGAGTCCTGAGGGTAGTCATATGAATAGAACTGGATTGTTTCACCCGTGAGCAGCGAGTTGCGTCACCATACACAGGCGCCTCATAGACCACTGGATGTCGTTTCTACTCCTTGCAATGCATTGGGCTATGTTTATTCCTTTTGACGACTTTGCACTATGGCGCTAGGCTTCATGTGACGGCTTTTCAGGCCTACAGACACCACTGGATAAAGCACAAGTAGCGCTTCTGCGGGAGCGAACCAAGTTCGAGTGAAGAATATAGTCCAGCGTTGGTCGCTGCAAGCAGTATCCAGCTAGGAGACTGGAGAGAGGAGGGAATGCCTGTGGTGAGAGTGAGTGGCGGGGAGAATGCGGGGCCCAGCTGCTCCCCATAACGTAAGTGAAGTACGCAATAATAAGTATGCAATAAGAAACATAACAGCACCCTTTCGCGCGACGCTCGAGCACTTCCCGTGGCCAGTTCAACGTCCAGGGGTGATGAGCAATGCCCAAATGGGAAGCAACTCAAGCGTTCCCCACCAGGTACGATCTTGGCTGCGGGAGGCGTTGACCCAGACACTTTCCTTCAGGGGATGGCCGGGCGACCTGTCTCCCACAAAGCGGACCTCAACTGATTTGAAAGGGGCATGCCTTTCGCATTAGTTTTGTTAGCCTTCCTTATGCCAGTGGTGCGTAGAACACGAAGAAAAGGAGGCCATGATATCTGGTTTAGTTTCCGCTTATCACTATAGCGGATTACAGACGGTCCTAGGCACTACTACTTGGAAGCTACAGTATCCCACAGTCTCGACCTTTCGGCAGGTCTCGATCGTTCCAGGCCTTGTGCACCTAGCTACATGCTGTTGGGCTGACTTTGCCTCAATATGCCCCCTAAAACACCTCCAGTAAACATTACCCTTGGGCAGCACATGATGAAGGCCTACATTGATGATGAAGACCTACACCTGACGTAGCTCGGGACAAAATCTTTCGCTGCTCAGCGCCAGAAGCAGTTTCGAAAGGAGCAGCGCAACCTTACGTTTCGTTCTTCACCCCTCCTCAAAGTCGCGTGCAACGGCGAGCTGCTCATCAGCAAACCGAGAACACCACCAAATAACTCGCGTAGACTTGCCACAGACTCAGTAAGCAGAGAACAGTAAGTCCGGAAGCTCCCGGTGATTCATTATGTTTGCAATGCCAATGCCCCAGGAATTACGGGCGCGCGGAGCCCGAAGAATTGGAGGCTTCAAACAGAGTGGGTCCGCATATCTCGTAAACTTCAGCTAGAAGCTGTCATTAAGCTTGCTTCCGTGTCCGCAAGGCTCTGTTCACGCAAGACCAAAAGCCAGATGTCAAGCCCACGTGCACATCTGGATCAGTGGAAAATGGGGAGCCAGAGAACCAGGCAACAAGAGCGTAGCATCTGGATACGCTTTACTTAAGAGCCGGCTCTTCCTTTCGCACCGCCGCAGCAAGTTGCCGCAGGTCATCGCAAGCTGCGAACAGCTCATCCCCTCAACTGTCCAATCAGCAAATCTAGGAACTTTACTGCCTGGGCCAAAATGAAACCATCCGGTTGTCCTTCAATGGCCAAGGTCTCGCCTACAGTAACGAAACAAGCGAACGTGACATCTTAAATGACACTTAAGCAGTACTGTGCGACAGTCCGGAAGAAATAAGGAAAAACAGCCTGAAGCAACAGTTCGTATTCTGCACAGTATGCTGCTCTGCAAGAGCAGCAAACTGTACAGGATACATGCCCTTTCCCGCCCTGAATTAAGCTTTGTGCATTGTGCGGAAACAGCGTGCTCTACGAGGCAACGCCGTACATGTGCGCCCGGGTGGCAGCCTCTTACCCCTATCTTTGAAGCCACACGCCTCAAGAAGTTCTAGCGACCCTTCACACACCATGACGCGGGACTTGAACGCCGCGTTCTCTTTTCTGAAGGGAGAATCAGAAACGTGCTGCCACATCTTGCTGCGATGCAACACCTCTTGACCGGCCAGCACCACTGAATGACTCTGCAGCACCTAGCATCTAGCCACTACATGGATTATACTCTGAATCCACCTACTCCCTTGGAGTCTAAGCTGTTCCTTGCCTGATGCGATGGTACTTGACATCTGTAGGGTGCTCTTTCGCGTTCATCACGTAGAGGCGCAATGTTGTCAAACAGACCAGAAGCTTCTGTGGCTCGTCTTTCCTGTACCTTTTGAACAGAGCATTGCTGAAGAAAGCTACTTTATCTTTGCCGCTCATTTTCGACACCCGCTCCTCGACGTCGGCCTGGGAAGGATCATCAGGCATCTGTGCGCAGCACTTGAACAACTTCGCGACCTCTCTTAATAGGCTGCTGCCGACTCTTATTCCCTATGGCGACCATTGATTACTAGTAGCACTTCCCCTCTTCGATGAAACATCTGCATCTCTCTACAGCAGTAAAAAACCCAATACAACCAAGCAGCGTGCAGTCAGCCTTAGCGCTTGCAAAAGCAACAGAAACCCCTGAGCAGACCTCGCAGCCAAATCTGTCCCTGTAGTCTTGACGTAGAAGTTCCCTTTGGCGTTCGCGCTCTTTCTTGGCCTCCTGAGCATTCAACAGCAAATGAACGTGCAGTTATGCTTGTCCCTGCTGGCTCAAAAAGGCTGCAGGGAGGACCAAGACCATCGGGTCATTTCTAAGAACACGTCGCTGGAGCTCAGGATCGCAAACTTCACTTAAAAATGGCGTAGTGGCGAGGGCTTGATTTTGGTCAGTTGGTTGTGGTCGTTGAGATACATGTGAAGATTTCGTTGTCCCGTGGATTGCATGCACTATTTCTAACCTCTTTCTCTCTCTGCAGCTGGCAAAGGGCTCGTTTCCTCGCCTCTTCCTCCAGCTTGGACTGCTGCTCCAGTATGGCCCGGGACTGCTGTAGTCTTAACCGTTCCTTTTCAATCGCCCCTTGCTTCTCCCGTTTTAGCCGCTCCTGAGCCCCACAATAGCACCAATCACAGACACACACTGGGGCTTCACAGTCACTGGCGGTTGCTCCCACATATGAGCAAGTAGCCTGTCGCAAAAAACCACGCAAGGCATCTGGTTCGGTCCCCGCGTATGTGCCGGACGCAATGTAAGCTGTGACGCGGCAGGGACACGAAAAGAAAGAAAGGCTCTTACTTCTCTGAGTTTCTTCTGGAGTTCGTACGCCATTCGCTGCGCCTCCTCCTCTGACAGAGGCGTCTTTTTTGCCGGTTTGTGGGTCGCGAGTTCCTCTGGAGTCAGTGGATCATCGATGTCAGAGTCACCCTCGTGCTCTTCAATCCAAGACAAAGCCGTCTCCAAAGTGGTGGGACACCCACGGGTCGCAAGCAACGCCCGCCCAGCTCGCGCTTCGCTGAAACCCATTTCCTTCAAGTGTGCAAGAAGCTATTAGGCAGGCAAGGCGCAAACACAAATACTGAGGAGAGAAATCTGGAGACAAAAATGAAGGATAAACGAGTCGGATGCTTTTGAGCTCTCGCTCTTTCGGTGGCGCGATTGAGGAGAGACGAATCATCAGAAGGAACACGCAATAAACAAAAAACCTGCTACGTCCTTTGCCTCGTGTGACTATTCCTGGTACCATTTCTGCCGGTGTTGCTGCCGCTGAAGGGGCTTAGGAGAGGATCAGTCTCACGTTGGCATCAACAAGATCAGAGAGGGCTGGACAGGCTGGATCTGACAAGACAGATACAAAAGTACATACGAGAGAAGCTCCTGTGGCGCGAATGCAGGTCCGCATGCTGTGTTTTACTGTGCTCCACCGAGCTGGCCTCGTGCCCGTTGACCCACCGTTGATATTTGCGGCATCCTGCCCAGTGCACTGCGGCGATTCGCTCTTCATTGGAGCACTCGACGAATCAGCACCTTCTTTAGTGCCTGCATCATCTTGCGGAATCGTCTCCTCTACTCCCACTAGCGAGACGTCCGAGTCTTTTCCGTTCCCCATGTCCGCCAGGAACCATTCAGGCCCTCACCGAGCTTCTATCTCTTCAATTGCAGTTGAGCTCTCTGCGAAGTTGTTTAGTTAGACAGGGGAAAGCCTTTTACGTGGAATCCTGGTAGCTGAGCACACACGTGGCAACTATATCTGTCGCCCGCCTCCGTGGGCGTCTGGAGTGCTGTGCAGGCGCCTTTCGGTGGACCCAAATATTATCTACCGGAGCTTTTTCTATGTGTTGCAAAAACACAATCACGGCAGCGTCTAAAGAAAGACACTCTTCCCAACTTGGTCTTGAAGTGCGAAAAGTACCACCGGGGGTGGTGCCTGAGCAGCAGAGTGAATCAATACGTGGCCCCAAGGAGCCATAGGCGCCATCGTTTACAAATATATTTGTAAACGATGGAACTTCAGGCACTAATGGCACAATACGTTCCTATTTCAATGATGCAGCACCTGACTCACGTCAGAAGGGATGCTCAGCCTGCTGGGCTCCTGTCCTGCA